GAACCAAATCTGTCTTAAGAAGATTGTGTTTCATAAGGCTCAGATTGAAGTTCTGGTTTTGCTAATTTATTGTTCGTGTTGATTTGTGTCCCTGTAAGTGCACTGGTTTTGATTTCTAGACATTCTGTTTAGATTAGTGCATAAGTTAGGCTTGATATTGTTTAATATTATCTAATTATATACATATATTTTCTATAACATTTGTAATATCACAGGGAAAAAGAGTGGTATCACTTGAAGACATGGGAGGCAACCCATTAATAACAATAGCAGGTTCTCCAAGCAACTCAAACACTCCAGCCATAGAGGACTCTATGTCATCCTCTTCGCAAGTCTTCTCCATTTTTACTTGTTTTTCTCATTGAACTAGCAAAAAGAATTTAAGAACACCCACAAGAGATAATTTAGTGATATGTAGATATGTGATAGCTTATATGTACTATTCAATGTAATCAATAACATTTAAATCAATGAAGTTGGCAAGTACATGTGATCTTAACACCCAAAAAAATGAAAAAAAAACAATAATCCCACATGCAACTGTTAAGCTTCTAAGTGTAACATATGAAATTTAACATGTGACCATTAAGAAATGGCACCAAACTCACCCTTTGTAATAGAAATGTAAACAGACATCCAGATTCAACTTAAGGAATGCAATAATTTTTAAATGTAAACAAATGTCCAAATTCAGCTTCAGGAATACAATATTTTATCTATGCAGACCATGAGAAACCTTTCTATGTATCGCCTCAAAACATGTACGAAAAAGTTATGCTCCACACTTATACGAACTAGATATGGTTATGATAAACATTCTCAATCAATTGAAATGCAAACACATATTAAAAAGTCCCAAGCATTTGGTCACCACATGTTTATTGTCATGCAATCATTGAATTAACCTAATCACCACATCATCACAAGAAATAACCTTCACAATATCTGATTAGTATTTGGCAACATCCCACACAATGAGACCATAATACCAAGGATGCCAATTGTGTTCCTCATCTTAGATACACTACAATTTCCAACCAAGTAAAGTTTGACCTGGAGTAATAGATTTTGGGTGTCAAAACAAGAGCTTTTACCCAAAACCATGCCTTTTTTCAAACTTTTACCCAAAAGAAAATAGTTTTGAAAGTATTTTCCAAACCCATGTAGTTTTAAAAATGTCATTTGAGCTGACGTTTTTACTAATAAAAGACGTTAGTTCAATTGACGTTTTTATGTAAAAACACCATTCCAACTAACATCTTAATAAACCTTTTTAATTTAAAAAGTTCACTTAAAAACATTAGTCTAACCAACATCGTTCTAAAAACGTCGGTCTAACCAACGTTTTATGCATTTGCTTTCTTACCCTGCCTTCCTTCTCTTCTTTTCCATTCTTTCTTCTTTCTCTAATTTCCCCCCAAAATTGCGAGCCCTAAATCGAAATTGCAAAAGCCCCCACCATCCGAAATCACAACCACCCCCATTCAGAACCACCACCACGACCATCACTATCCCACAACCACTAGCCCCAGCACCACCATTATCCGCCCCAACACCACCATCATCTAAAACCACCAGCCCCAGCACCACCACCATTTTTAGAGTAAATGTATGTGGCCACCAGAGTTGCTTGGTTGAAGATCACCGGAGTTGCTGGGTTGGAGACCACCGGAGTCCCTAATTCGTTGAAGACCACCAGCGCCCCAATTCATATGTGACTAACTCTTTCACTCTCTATCACTCTCACTCTCACTCTCTATCTCTCTCTCTCTCACACACATAGTATGTTCTCACTATCACAATATTATTTTGTGTAGGGCTATTTTTGTGGTTTGATTCTTTTTGGTTCGTTTGATTCATGTTTTGTGCACTGTTATTTTTTTGTGTTGTTTCGTCATATGCATTGTTAATTTGTGGTTTGATTCATTGATATGTTGGTGTTTGTGGTGTGATTCAATGATATGCACTGGTGTTTGTGGGTTTATCCATTAATTTGGGGTTTGATTAATCAATATGCTAATTTGCACTGTTAATAGTGGTAATTTGCAATGTTAATTTGTGGCTTGACAAAGTAGGACATTAGCAAGTTCATCGATACGCTAATTGATGCATATTATTTCTTCTACTTAACATATTAATATACTAATTGATTAATCGATTTTATTCTTGTACAACACAATATGTAATTTGCACTGTTAATTTGTTCACCATAGTATGTAATTTGCACTATTTCGTGTTAATTTAATTATATGCTTATGTAGTTTGTCTTGTTAATGTTATTTACTTGAGAAATCATCTTTGCCAATCCTGTATTACTTCTATCTTCCTCCTTGTGAATGTAATTTAAATTAACACGAAACCTTTTGTGTGTTTTGCAACTTCTGCTCATTCCTCATTCATTCCTTTCTTATTCAACTTATGTACGAAGTTGAATTTTTAATTTAAAAGAATATAGTAATAATTAAGATTAACTTTTAATTTAAATTGCATAACTTAAAATTTCCATAAATTGTTTGAGATTTGGTATAAGTTTTAAAGTTCCATAAAATTCCAAGCAACACCATTTTGCAACACCATCTCTCTCTCACTCTCGGTATAAGCATTGTAATTATGTCTCTCAGTCATCAACCAACACCATTTTCCTCAAAAATAAACATCTTCATTAATGTGATAGTATTAGAAAGTATTGTTATCCTTGAGTTGAAAAGTCTTGATAATTGCGATAGAGTTATAGATGTAAATCAATTACTCCCTTGTTAGCAAAAAGATCAACTACATTGTTTGCCTTCCTGATAACATGTTTGAGTTCAAATTGAAATCCTGGTAGCATGTTAAAATCTACCCTCTTTTGGGAATTATTTTATCAAACTTCATGTTTTGGTTTGATCTCCATGTTTCTTAGTTTGCTAGTTGTACACTTCAAGCTCTAAAGTTTCTTATTTTATCAATTCTTTTATGTTGCACGCGTTAAATTCCATAGGACTTTGTTTAACTATGGATCTATTTTTCCTCAAGTATTAACCTTTTCTATCCATCCCTAGATTCTTGTCAATTCAGTACTTATTCTACAATTGAACATATTTGAAATGACGGGAAAATAAGTTGCAATTTTTTTTATTTTGGTGGACGAATGAAATATGGATCAGAAGATTTATTCTACAATTCTCCTCCCAAAGGTGAAATTGTTATAAATAGTGGCACAAAACTATGAGAGTTGTTAAGTAAAATTTACACTATAATGGGATTGGACAAATCACATAACAAGTTGAGGTTGACGTGTCGATATCCATTTACACTAGGAGCAGGACCAAACATGAATACATATATCGAATTAAAAATTGTGAACGATGAATTTGTTACTTCTTTGGTTAATGTGGTAGTCGACAACCCTAGCATGACTAGTGTTGCTTTGTACGTGGAGACTGAGGGCAGGCAGTAGTTAGATCGGGGAGTGCATAACCACCACTACCATGTCTTACACTGAGTTGTTCAGGCGAGAGAAAGGTAACTCAACATTTTTAACTTCTAGGTTGACGGATGAATGTTCAACTCCTGTGGGGATGTAGTTAATGGATGAGTCTAGGCAGTGCTCCTACACCCACTAACATTCTAGGTTTGCTACATATGAGAGGTACTCAAACCCAATGAGTCAAAATTTTCAAATATGTGAGGAGGGGATTGAATTGGATAAACAAGATAGTGTCCATCAACTAGTAATGCAACAAAGCCCAATCTGGAAATATGAAGAAATGTCTATAAATAATCGTACAAATATCTCTGATGAAGAAGAAGAATATGAGAAGTTAATGATTGATGAGCCAAATAATGATGATAGGAATGGTGAACAAATTGAGGCTGGCGGGGAGGTTCGGATGCTTAAGCCTTACTCCCCTTTCTTCACAAACATTAAATTTGGTGAGTATTTTGATGTAGATAGCTTAGTGTTATCTACTGAATTGAATTTGTAGGATCTGGTAAAGATAGAGTTGGTGAAGTTTATGGTTTTTAAGGATAAAGTTGCATTGAGTAGGGCAATTAAATGGTATTTTATCAAATTGAATCAGGATTATGTTGTAGTAAAGACGAACACAACGGTGTGGTTGTATAGTGCAACATGTACTTCTAGCCTAACTACAACTAGAGTCTACGTGCTTATATTAGGAAAAAGTTCAAAAATTTTAAGATCACAAAATATGATAGACCTCATAGTTGTTTTCTACCCTTGAATGAATCGTGAACATACAGTTAGATTCTAACTTCATTTGTCATAGTATATTTGGACTTGTTGGTGATACCTCGCAAATAAAAATGTCAACAATTCAGAAAAATATAAAGAAAAAGTCTAAGTATGATATTTCCTACAAAAAAGCTTGGATTGCAAGGAACAATGCTATTGCTATGATTTTTGGTGATTGAGACTCGTCGTATGACATGTTGCCTAAATTTTTGGGTGTTATCAAGTATAACCCTGACTCGATTGTGAAGTAGCGATACAACTATGAATCTGATGAATATAATATTTTTTGTCGAGTATTCTGAGCATTCAAAGCCAGCATTAAATGGTTTAAAAATTGTCGACTTCTTGTTAGTATTAATGAAACATTTATGTGTGGCATGTATAAGGAAAAACTGTTTATGGCAACTAGTTTTTATAATAATAAACAACTGTTTCCCATTGCATTTGCTATCGTGGAAGAAAAGAATTAATCAAATTTGTGTTTTTTTCTAATACCTTCGACAGATAATTCTTAAACATTGACAAGAAATATGTTTAATTTCTGATAGGCACATAAGAATCATTTCGGTTGTGAACATAAAAAATTCTGAGGGGTATCCACCACATGCTTATTATCACTTTTGTTTTAGGGATGTGTGTAGTAATTTTAATACACAGTTCAAGGATATCCATTTATATGATCTTGTGTGAAGATCTGACAAAACACGATAGATTCGCAAGTTCGATAAGCTGATAACCCAGATAAGCAATGTCAAGGAAGAAGCGGTTGAGTACTTGAACAGAATACAAGTGTAGAACTGAACATTAGCCCATCATGGTGAACAAAGATATAACATAATAACAACCAACATTTCTGAAGTTTTTAATAGTGTTCTCCAAAGTGCTAGGTTTTTAGCTATAACTAATTGTGTGCAATCGATATTTTATCGGGTCACTAAGTATCATTTCAAACATCGAGATAAGATGACAAAATGGATTGCAATCTGTTTCCCGTCGAAGAAACTTGTACTCACTCTTGTCTTCTTAGAAGGTATGGATTAAAGGAATATGCCTGATGGGCACCACAAAAATGTCGATCAAATGGATTCATGAACAACATTTGTAATCACTGAGTGAGAGAGAGAGAGAGAGAGAGAGAGAGAGCAAAGTAACTAAATTGCACATTATACAATTTCTTGTGTTGTAGATAGCCTCTAGGCTTAGTGACTCTGTTATGTGATTCAGAACTAGATTTGGTCCAAAGCAAAATCCAACTACTAAGCTCTTGATGCCTGTATTGCTTCTCCTATTCACGAATTGGTCGATAGAGTTAACGGCGATGATCATAGTGAACGAAGATCAAGAAATTCTCAATCCGACATAAACACCTTTATTTCTAGCTGGTAGGCTTTGGTAAAGAAGGCAGGCCAACAGAGGTACGTTGACATGATACTGCTAACAGTTGAAGCCCCAAGAAGCATGTTCATTACGACAATCTGCAACCGAATGGCCTCCACTGGAGAAGCTCCTCCCATTATAAGGCCAGTCATTGCACCAGGAAGTGTTATGAGACCAACGGTTTTGGCATTGTCCAAAACAGGGGAGAGTGCAATAACAAGAGACCTTTTCACTTGCTGAAGTGTTGCTTGACGGGGAGTGGCCCCAAGTGCCAATGCTGTCTCCACCTGCCATATGAAATCACATAAGTTGTGATGCCAAATCTTGAAAGCTATTTTAACCAATGGGGGATGACCTGATAATCGGAAAATAGAACATTGTTGATTAGTTAATCAGCACATTCGCAAATGGAAGACGATAGAGCCTTGTGTCATTAACATTCATACTCAATTTTCCTAATCTATAAAGATGATCCGCCCAAAGTTTCATGACAGGAAGTTATCAGATTAGAAACAGCCAGATGGAAGATTCAGGTCAATATGTTAGTCACCAGAGGTAAGTTAAATGAAATCTTGCGAAAATATTCAGTAAGGCCAATCTACCAAATAGTATAAAGATCTTCCACAAGTGTTCAGTTATTAGGACCTACCAGGCTCATTTGTGTCTTGATGTCATCTCGAAGTCTTTTCATTGTAACCCCAGTCACCGTCATTGCATTACCAACCATCATCCCAGCAACAGGGATGATGTACTGTGGAGTGAAAGGGAAAACATTCAGCAAAACTAACAAGAACATTGTCACTGCTGTTCCAGCCAGAATGGAGGCTCCTGCAACATACTTCCCACGAGGGACATGTTTAGCGCGTTGGCCTGCTGTATAACCAGCAACACAAACCTGCAAGGCCACGATCATGCAATGCAATTGAAATGATAAGCCTCCCTGATTCTCATAAGCAATCAATCATCATTCATCACAGGAAAAAATTCATTCTAAATACTAAAAGATAACAAGAAAAATAAACCAAAACTAATGCCCCAAATTTATTTAGTAAGGACTGTAGTGAAGGAATCGAGTGCTCAGTAGTCAGCAAGACCACTTGCAGTTGCAGATGCTAATGGGTTATATTAGTGTCCTAGCCATATCTCCCTACAAACTAACTCACTAAGGGTAACAAAATCATACAAAGCCCCCATAAAAACAGAGCATCAGCCAATAAAAACAGGCTCACATCCTCAGATTAGAGTTTTTAGACTGTCTTTTCGCAAGAAAAAGCCTCAACTAGTCCCCTTTGTTTTTCACATAGTGTTGCAAGAAGCACACTGCAGAGAACTCCAAAACAGGACACTGCAGAGAAATCCAAAACATTTATCTGCGGTTCATTTATATATGGGGCGTCATCCACTTAGACACAACATCGAAATTACAAGTCTTCCATCACTAGAGATTATGAATTCACTACACTTGCATAGAAGTATTCATGAACTCTTCTCTAAGTCATAAAGTTCATCTGCTTTGCTCCTGTTTTTTTGTGAAAAGCTCAAGGTTCAAAGTCCTCTTTAAGGAATTGGATTTTCTTGACTTGATCAGATATGGTTTTGGATAGGAGCAAGTAATTGCATAAAGTCGTGTGAGTTTAGATTCAGCTAAAATGTGAAAGCTGAAATGAGAATCAATTTGAGCACTATCCAAAGGAAGAGAGAAACGTCGAGAACTGAAAAAAAAATGGAGAAAACCAGTAAAAAACGTAAAGACTTTTAATAGTAGTTTATCAGACCAATTCTGCCCAAATATTAGACTTACGATTTTGGTGAAATTTTGGGGGAATTTAGGGGAGGAAAAATTTTCCAACATTGACAGACAATACAATAACCAAACCTCTGGTTTTCAACAACGAAAAACCATGAGGAATAACCCAGAATATAAAACTCCAGAAAAAAAAAGAAAAAAGTCTCGTCTGGTTGCTTGTGAAAGCAAGAAAATAAGATAGTATTAGGGAACAATAACCCCCTCTCAGTTAAGTCCATGCAACAGTGTTTTGCACAATTGAAATGAACCATGAAATTAAAGTAAACCAAACCAACATCCAACAATAATATTCAGAAGTTCCTTTTATTTCCTGTAACATTTTTTCACCAGAGAGAGAGAGAGAAGAAGCATACCATAAAAAGGTAAGCGAAGACAATCCAGCCAACGTTCTTCTGGGTGAAAATAAACTCAAGAACAAACCCAATAATAGAGAGCTGAAGGAAAGCTCTGAAGATTGAATAAACCATTTCACCCCCCAAACCCAACTTCTGCATGTATGACAATATCACAGCCATTAGCACCACAACAAGAGCCAAAGTTGGCTTCAACATACCCTTCAAGTACTCCAACAGCCATTCCAAATCCATGGCCAAAACCCACTTCACCTCCCACCCCAAAGATGAACAAACTATCAACAGATGCGATTACTGGGTTGCTTGATTATGCAAATAAGCTGTAAATGAATGTATACAGGAGATCCCATGGTGAATATATATATATATATATGTGGATAGATAGATAGATAGATAGATAGATACAGATGTGTATAGAAACGACCTTCCCCTGATGGGGTGAAAAATGAAGCATCTTGTGGAGTTTGTACCTGAGAAAAACGAAGTGGGCATATGATTTGGGTCTGAGTAGATTGCGAAGAAAGTGATTTCCCGGGAAAGTAATGGGACGTACGTACGGCCAAATACGAAAAAGGTCCCCCACACTTGTGAAGCGTTTGGCCTTTGACAAAATTTCATTCACACCCCTCTAAATATTAAGATCGACTCTAATATTTAGAATTAATTTTAAGTGTTCGATCTTAAATATTTTTAAAATAATTATAACTTAACTTCAAAGTTTATAATTTAATCTCAAAAAATTATAACTTGATCTCAAAAAATTATAATATGATCCCAAAAAATTAAAATTTTTAACACCAATTTTAACTTTTTTTTCAAACTAAACCCTCAATATTGTATCTTTACCTATAAAAATTATAAGTTTATGGGACTATCAGGACCATAGTCGAGCCCTTCTTGTTGGAATATCATGTCAAAGTTCGTATGCAATCGTTAATTTAATTTTAATGATTTATAATCTTTAATTAAAAATAATAAAATAAAATAAATTCACATGTGTCATTTTTTCACTAGATAAAAAATAAAAATATGATACTAAAAAAATTAATATTCAATTTTTATTGTGAGTACGCTATATGTTGCTTATAGATTAGTTTGGAGTCAATCTAAAGTTCGAAACTTTACATTTAAGTTCAATCTCAAATTTAAATTTAATTCGAACTCTTTAATTTCATTATAGACTTGTGAAGACATTGTTATCTTGAAGTTAAGAGTTTAAGTCTCATTCTTCAAAAATAAAAATAAAACTCTTTAATTTGATCATTTTGTATTGAATATGGATTTAATTCTCATGTTAAACAAATCGGGCACAAATTTAGATTTAATACATGTTCAACTCGATTTATACACAAATTTAACTCTTGAATTATGTAATTCAAATTAGAATTATGATTCAGCGATTTGAATTCGAATTCAAATTCGTTTTCAGATTGGATTTGAATTAAATCCTAAAAACTCAATATTTCACTATGATTATTGTACAAATATAGGTCATACCTAATTTATATATTGAAAATATTAATTCAGATATAATTTATCCAATATTACAGTTATGAAATTGAATTCTCAACTTATAAAAGCACAATAATTATTAAGATTAATCTAATTTTTATCTATTTTGATCAAATAGTACAAAATTTATAACCAAATTTTTTTTTGAATAATGGGATGAGAGTACCTTTTTTTGAACTTATTTGGCTTTAAGTTCCACCTCCAAATTTATCCCCCTTTAAGTCCTTTATTGCATGACTTATTTGTCAATAAATACACATTTTAAAACATTTTCAAATTCTTTTTGAAATGTATTCCATATTTACCCTTACCATAAATAGTCCATACACAATAGACAACTTTTATATTTCCAATATCTAAATATTATAATGTGAAACTTTCAAAATTCCTTTTGATATTTGTATATTATTTGAATTTTGAAATTTCAAACCATATTGGTATTTCATTATCATCTTTTACCAAAGTACTTTTATATTCTTCCCGGTTCAAGAGTCTACCATTGTTTTTCTTCTTCATATCTCATTGTCCCTCAAGTCTGCCATTGAAGCATATCTCATTGTACTTCTTGTTCACCTGTTCAAGACTATTCTTTACCAAACGGGACGCCATTAATCTGTAAGTATTCAAGATTTCAACATTATGGTGTTCAACATTTTCATAAAATTTTCGGAATTGTGGAGCACTACATTTTATATTTTTTTATTTTATTTTGTTGGAATTTTTCAGAAACATGGAACATTAATTTTTGTTGGTCATTTAATATTTTCAATGTTTAATCTCTTTTTCCATTCCGAAAAGAGAAATGTTTAATCTCATGCTTAAATGATTTGAATATTGGAACTTGTTTTTTTAAGCGTCTACCTCACTTTTTTCATGAAGATTTTTCATATTTTATGGAATGGAATATGTTTATTGTTTGGTGTTACTCTTTCTTATATGATTTATTGTTTGTTGTCACTCTTTCGTTTTAGGAACCTATTACTAATTTTATGTTTATACACATATTTAAGGTCATGGAAGAAATGATCATGCTATTATGCAAATATCGTCTTGAGACGTTAGTTATGAGATGTTCAATTCTATCAAGTTTTGATTTCATTTTGCATAGAATTTGCAAGGAATGGGATGAGTTGAGAAATTTGGTTGTGCGTATATCATATTCGATTCCAGGTTATCCGAATTGTTCACTACGAAATGATGATGACATGAAGAATATGTTTGAGTTAGTTCGTTTAATTAATGTCAATCATATTGCATTGAGGGTGTACTTGTGTAATGATACTTCAATTGCTACGGTTGATAATGAGTTGCTTGAAGATGTTAATATTGTTGAAGACGGAGTTGATTTTGAGATCGATTTACTTCCTCGTTTTTGTTCACATACCGAGAAAGTTCTTTTAACATCTAGGTGGGCAAATGAAATCAAGTGTGAAGGTTAGAAGTTTGAAGGTGGTGTTACCCATTTTCGGACTGCTCTATGCAAATATGCAGTTGAGGTTGGGTTTAATTTCAATTATGGGAAGAATTGTAAGATGAGAGTTGTTGCGGAATGTGCTTCAAAGTAAATAACAGGATGTGAGTGGCATGTCATTGCTACTCTTCAGAGGATGAATGGTTTCTTTTATATAAGAAAACTACAAAACCAACACACTTGTGGAGTAAGTCTACACACAACCCAAAACAAGAGGATGTCTTCCAGTTTGATTGCAAATCTAATTGTTGACAATGTCCGTGAAAACACAAACACTCATCCAACTAAGGTGGTTAGCGATTTTCGTTCATCGTATGACCTTACAATATCATATGACCAAGCATTGTTACGTGTGGAAAAAGTAAAAGCAATGCTTTTTGGGGATTATTCTTTGTCTTATGATCAGTTACGTTGGTATGTAGATACGGTGAATAATACAAATGCAGGCAGCCATATAGTGCTTGATTGTGACCAAATATCTAACCATTTCTATAGGTTTTTTGTATCCTTCAAGGCATGCATTGATGGGTTCAACTATTGTCGGCCTATTTTGTTTATTGATGGAACCTTCCTTAAAGGAAAGTACAAAGGAAATATTCTTTTGACCATTGAAAAAGATGAAAATCAAGGTGTGAGTTTTTTTGTATATGATGTTTTTGTATTAATAAAATGTTACTGTTTATTGTCATTCTTTTTTTGTAATCGAATCTGTATACTGTATTTGTTTTTTTTTTTTTTGAATCTATATGTTATTACTCTACTTGACAGGTTTATTCCCTTTAGCCTATGTCGTGGTTGATTCAGAGAATGAAGCTAATTGACATTGGTTCTTACAACAATTGTCGGTTGTTTTAGATCCCGAACGAGTGCTTACATTTGTTTCTGACCGGAATGCTGGATTGTTGGAAGCGATGCCCAAGGTTTTTTCGATGTGCCACCATGCTTTTTGTTTGCAGCATTTGAAGGCAAACTTGAGGGAAAAGTTCAGCGAGTCTCGATTTTCAAATGTCCTTTGAAAGTATCTGATAAATTTCTTTCGTGAGCTTATTTAGTGAGAAGATTGAAGCGTTAAGACATGAAGGTGGCCCTAATGTGGACAGATTCTTGAAAAATCTTCCTTATGAAAACTAGGCAAATGCTTATTTTAAAGGCAAACGTTACGGTGAGATGACCTCTAATGCATTAGAGTCATTTAATTCTTGGATGATTAAGGCACGAAATCTTCCTTAGTGCTTGATTGTGATCAAATATCTAACCATTTCTATAGGTTTTTTGTATCCTTCAAGGCATGCATTGATGGGTTCAACTATTGTCGGCCTATTTTGTTTATTGATGGAACCTTCCTTAAAGGAAAGTACAAAGGAAATATTCTTTTGACCATTGAAAAAGATGAAAATCAAGGTGTGAGTTTTTTTGTATATGATGTTTTTGTATTAATAAAATGTTACTGTTTATTGTCATTCTTTTTTTGTAATCGAATCTGTATACTGTATTTGTTTTTTTTTTTTGAATCTATATGTTATTACTCTACTTGACAGGTTTATTCCCTTTAGCCTATGTCGTGGTTGATTCAGAGAATGAAGCTAATTGACATTGGTTCTTACAACAATTGTCGGTTGTTTTAGATCCCGAACGAGTGCTTACATTTGTTTCTGACCGGAATGCTGGATTGTTGGAAGCGATGCCCAAGGTTTTTTCGATGTGCCACCATGCTTTTTGTTTGCAGCATTTGAAGGCAAACTTGAGGGAAAAGTTCAGCGAGTCTCGATTTTCAAATGTCCTTTGAAAGTATCTGATAAATTTCTTTCGTGAGCTTATTTAGTGAGAAGATTGAAGCGTTAAGACATGAAGGTGGCCCTAATGTGGACAGATTCTTGAAAAATCTTCCTTATGAAAACTAGGCAAATGCTTATTTTAAAGGCAAACGTTACGGTGAGATGACCTCTAATGCATTAGAGTCATTTAATTCTTGGATGATTAAGGCACGAAATCTTCCTTAGTGCTTGATTGTGATCAAATATCTAACCATTTCTATAGGTTTTTTGTATCCTTCAAGGCATGCATTGATGGGTTCAACTATTGTCGGCCTATTTTGTTTATTGATGGAACCTTCCTTAAAGGAAAGTACAAAGGAAATATTCTTTTGACCATTGAAAAAGATGAAAATCAAGGTGTGAGTTTTTTTGTATATGATGTTTTTGTATTAATAAAATGTTACTGTTTATTGTCATTCTTTTTTTGTAATCGAATC